CCCACACCCACACCCACACCCACACCCACACCCACACCCCACACCCCACACCCACACCCACGCCCTAGTTTGACTGTCGTTTAACAATTGCACATACAGATAGCATGGCTTGGCTTGAAATCGCTCTGAAAACTACAAGACTTATTTAGATGTTTTATACAAAATTTTCTCCTCCTCATTCACGCTATACATGTGCTTAGCAGCTGACGCATGACGGACTAGGTTGGTTTCTAACAAATGGTTTCAATCTTCTGTTCTGCTTCAGCGCAATGATCCAACTCATCGATTAGTCACAGTTTTGGTCTCAATGATACTTCAGAGACGAAGATCAAGAATGCAATACCTCTCTTCGAGATCATTATTTGAAAAATGATTCATTCTGTGCAGATTGGAGGCTTTGAGACCTCTGTGATTCGAATATTTACTTATTCAGAATTGTAACTGCGAATGCTTTGCAATTACGACATTATGTACAAGCAACAAAATGCTTTTTTATTCATACCTTCATATTGTTTTGCAATGTTGTGCGCAAAAACCTATTTTATCTCGCAATTTTACCTTTGTGTTTAGCGAGAGAGCGAAGTTTCTTCGATAGCAAACACATAAGCATCCATCATGCGCTACATGCAATGGATGCATATATCAGTTTTTTCTATTGACTCAAGAACGAAAGTGTGCACTTTCGCTTGCGACAGTGTTTAAGTCTCAAGCAAAATATAGAGATCTTCTTTTTGAAAAAGAATAGTAAAAACAACCAACCAACGTACTTTACGATAAGACGTAATGATTTATTTTATATACGCTATTCATCGAGTGTCGAGCAGTGTGTGTGCACAAAGAAAGATATAATATAGCAAGACGATTGGTTTTCTCTTCTTTCTAGTTTGGCTTGATAGATTTTGTTAAAAAATCTTAAAAAAGAAAGAATGTGTGAGCCGTAAGAGCTTTGCTTCACACGATGCTGAAAACAAGAAACAGTAGTATCAAACACTGAATCCCCTATTAGCAAATTCATTCGCATATAAGACCGGGAGAGAAGGGTGTGGGCTTGAATGTACTTTTATAAATGACCCACACCCACACCCTTATAGCCAAACCCATCCACACCCACACCCTTATAGCCAAACCCATCCACACCCACACCCTCACTCCCACACCCACACCCTCACTCCCACACCCACACCCTCACTCCCACACCCTCACCTCCACACCCTCACCTCCACACCCTCACCCCCACACCTTTTTCTTTTACTAGATATTTCCTTTTATGATTAGATTCAATCAGAATGAATATCTATGTCACTTGATAATGATTCTTTTTTAGTAGAATCGAAATAAAATTCAACAACATTCTATCGTAGTTATTCAACACATTCTTATAGAGTCAAAAAGTTTTCAATTTTTTGAAAATTTATTCTAGTATTTTATCTTTGATTTTCGGAATCAATTGGATAAATATCTATGCCACTTGATAATGATTCTTTTTTAATAGAATCGAAATAAATTTAAAAATTTAGTAACAATTTATTGTCGTTATTCAACACACACCCCTTCAAAATTATTTTTTGCAACAAAATTTTGTTAGAAAATACTTACAGCCTATAAAAAGAGAAAAAAATTACCTCACACCAGTCTTCGCCCAAACCAATGAATACAAATTCTCTATATCAGACCACCAATAATGCGATTCTGGGACACCGCTCCAATCTGGCTTCGGTCCTTCTGGATAAGGATCTTCAAAATCTGTATCATAATTCAGGCTAAGCATATACCATTTTTCGTTAAAGTCTTCTTCCAAAGCAGTCACGTCCTGTTCTTTCTCGGGACTGCTCTTTACAAACTGCCCAAAATCATCAACCAAGAATTTAGCACCCGAAATATACTTCAGATACTCAAACAAATCTTTTTCGTGTGTGTCTCTGCAAAGATTTAAAACGCCTTTGCCACGTCCAAGAGCTTGATATACTTTGGGTAGTTCTTGTTCAAGTTGATGGCGTTCGGCTTCTTCAAATGTAGTCACATTGGCGAGATTCCGATGGCGAGCGTATTCAAATGTTGAAATGAGAAAACTGGCAACTTGCGAAGAAGTAATCCCGCTTGAGGTCTTCACTATAGACGTGAGGTTTTTTAAAAAATTGGCACGCATTGAATGAAACGATATCTAAAAAAATGAGTATTATTTATTTACTCAACTTGTTTCAACACAGAGTCAAAATAAATTTGGACCTTGAGATGTCCAGAAGTCCATGAGGCCAAGGTCTCATTATTCGTATATATGAGAAATTCTACCCCACTCCTCGAGATCCATGTATCCTGAATGTTTCAAGAATGTTCGCTTGGCAGTTTCATAGAACCGTGAAAACGGGGACGCTCACTCAAGTCGAGTCGAAAAAATGGCTCACTTCGACTCCCTTTTATACGTGATGACGTAATTATATTGACATTATATCAGTTAATTTATTAATACAATTTTATACTGCAAATATAATGATGAAGGCTTGACGCAGAGAAATATATTGTGTTGCGTTGTGTTGTGCTGTGTTGTGTTCGACGTTAAATATCCTTGACAGAGTATGTTTGCGCCATCGTTATTTTACTATATGCTTCTTTCCTCTTTCTTTCAGTGGAAAAAACCAAGCAGAAGAAAGAGGAATGAAAAACCACGACGTGAAAGAACGAGGCGAAAAGTATATCGTAGGGGATCGATGCTCTATATATACTCTATGAATAAGGAGTGCTTGACGCCGAGCACAACACAACACAACACGATGTACTCTTCTATTTCACGTCTCCATTATTACTTTCTGTAGCATAAAGAAATATTAACGAATTAACTGATACAACGCCAGTATAACTACGTCACCTCACATAAAAGTGAGTCGAAGTGAGCTATTTCTTTCAATTCGACATGAGTGGATGCCCCTTTTTACGCGTTTCTAAGAAAAGGCCAAGCGAATATTCTTGAAATTTTCATGGTACGTGGGCCTCGAGGAGTACGGTAGAATTTCTCAAAGAAAGAAATTACCAGCCTCGGCTTCATGGACTCCTGGGAACTTCAAGGTCAAAAAATGGCTTGCAATTTTCTTCCCTTGGCAATCTACTGATTGCATTTGTTTCAGCTGAAATTTCTGCTATAAGCAGCAGAACTGAATCGTGGATTGCTTTTTTAGAGTCCTTATCAAGGGGGGAAAAGCGGATTCCGTCTATCCGGGATTAGGGGTGGCACATTTACTTTACTTTTCGTAAAAGTAAATAAGTAAAGTAAATAAAATATTTACTATTTACTTTTGTGAAGTAAATAAAAAAAATATTTTTTAAGGGAGGGGGTATCATTAAATCAATTTTTTTTATTAATTTTACAAAAGTAAATAGTAAATAGTTTATTTCCCTATTTACTAGTAAAGTAAATATAAAGTACCACCCCTATCCGGGATACGGTGACAATCCGCACAATCCAGAGGATACGGTGGCGATACAGAGGATACGGCGGCGATACAGGGGATTCGATTACAATCCAGAGGATATATGTAGAAATAAGAAGATAAAATTTGATTGAGTGATGAAAACCCAAAATCTACACGATAGAAATGATGAGACTCATAACGGGTCAGTTTTTGATGGATACTTCTCATGAATATCAACGAGTTTAAAGTGTTTCTTTTTTATATGTTTCGAAGCTGACTAAGGCGTCTTATGCAACGTGATAAATTTAAATAAAAAAAAACTTTTAAATAGTATAGCGTCTAATCGTTAATTTTCTGACGTTCAATCTATGTACGTGCACGACAGCCGGACGAGTCGAATGATAGAGAACGAAAAAAATAATGAATTTTGTGTTTCTGTTTCTCTTCTTCATTTACAACTTCTTACTTTACACACCAGCTCACCATACTTTCTTATCTTGGTATTTCGATTCTTATTGTGCAATGCCATTATCACAAGGGGGAAAAGCGGATTTCGTCTATCCCCGA